AAAGAAGTGGCGGTGGAAAACCCTTTGTCCAGGGGTGGACACACACACACGGGTTGGCAAGGCCTGAACTTTCAGTTGAGTTGCATTGTTTTTTCCTGGAACACGGTGCTACATGTTAGAAGGAACTCTTGTCATGGCTGCAAAAGCATTTCCTCACTTCATGATGCGCAAAGACTTGCGTAGCCATTTCGTTGCGAAGGCATTTTGCGAAGGCCGTGTTTTTCATGCTCATGTGCTTTGTAGAATGAAGCTAACACAAAACCTCGCGAAGCCTTTTGCGAAAGCACCTCTTACATGCAACATCATAAGCCACCCTCACATAGGCAAATTCGCTTGGGGAGAGAAAGTGGCGAAAGCTTCGCGGAGGTGGCTGTCCCCCAGACCACGCAAAAAAACACGGCTCAGTTGGTGAGTTCTTGGATGTTTTGGTCATGTGGGCACCCAAACGCTGTTTAGAGACACCCCGAAGAGACTTGCATATGCTTGTTGCAATTCAGACCCCCATTAGTTCCACCAGTTTCCACCCCGAGGGTTCTCTTTCCTAGGAAGAATCACATTTAATTAGATGAACATTTCTTGAAAAAACATCGCTGCCATCTATGTGCGAATCTCGAGATTGGCACTCCCCACGACAACCCCACCTTGGCCCTCCCCACGACCGCCAGGAGGTGGATTCCGACGGCAGTGGAAATATCGATTACACGGAGTTCCTTGCGGCGACCTTGGACAAGAGGACAGCCACGGCGACGAGCCGCCGAAACGATGAACGGAGTGGCGGGCGTCCATGGATTTGGGGTGAAGCCACCTTGCCGGAAACGATGGAGTGGTGTTTGCTGTACTTGATTGTGGTTGTTCTGTGGTGCATGGTGTTACTAGGCAAATCCTGCAATCCAAATGCTGTACTGGAATAGTTGGAATCTGGTTCAGCACATTGTGTTTGTTTTTTCTCATTTTCTATGTTGCTTTGCAGTTTTCAAACTGTTTTTGCCTGAGAGTTGGCTACAGGCAGTGGTGAGTATAGTGTTTTTCTGAATAAGACATTACTTAACATATTAATATTAAACAAATATATAAATACTTACGTACTTAATGTGTGTCCCGCCAAAACAGATGTGGTTGGAGATGCTGCAAATCTAACGGCCATTCTTTAAGACCTATAAGCACTATATACGCACCGGCCCAGAATTCAAACAGGTCCATGCTAGCGGCCTTTCAGCTTCCTTCGCAGGATGTACATCCAAGAGGATGTTTGCTGGTCAGCCTTCCGAGTATTTGACAGGCCAGGGCGTCGTTTTTTGCTAATCAAAGCTGAATAGAGAGTCCAGGGTCTTTAGGAGCCTTGAATATAGCAGAAGGCATACCAAACCCACAAATACGTTTAGCAAAAGTCTGATTCAGATGGCAGTACACAAAGAGGGTTCGGCAGCCTAACGATATGTTACTTTCTATGCAGGTGTTCAACCGCAAGCCACAACCAACGTCAATGGGGCCAAGACTTTCGGATAGATTTGATCAATTGATGTGGTGCTCACGGTGAGCGCCACGGTTTTGGACTCGGTCTTGAGGAACGGCGACGGCAAGATCTCCATGGAGGAATTGCAGCAGGTCTAGCGGCGATCAATGTCGATGCGAATCCGGCGGATTGAGAGTTTTTTTGGTGAATCAAAGTGAGAGTCCCGAGTCAAAGCCTTAAATGTGAAGGGTCAAGTTTGGAAGTGGATCCCAGGATCCTCGACGATATTAAGCCTACAGAATGCGGGGGTTAACCCCCCTACAGAATTGTCATGTGGTAGTAGAGGGGTTTGGTAGCACAAGTGGTTGGGATCCCAGCATTTTGTAGGCTGCAACAGGGTTGGGTGTACTCATTTTGTAGTGGAAGGAAAATTGAAAATGCATGATTAAGGGGTTGGGCCCCCCTTATTCTGTAGAGGAGGTCCCTCATTTTCTAGAGAATCATAATGGACCCGCCGTTTGCATTCATCTTCACTACTAAATGAGTACCTGCCCTTTGCATGGCATATCATTTTGTAGCAATCAGGCGCCTTGAGCCCCCCCATTTTGTACCATTGGCCTTGCCCCTCTCTACAAAATGGGTCCTTTTTTTTAGAGATAGGACGTTGGTCGTTGTCATTATGTAGTTAAATTCACTACCAAATAGGGACCCCGACCCCTCACCCTGAATATCAACGATGATATCCCAGGTAAGCATCCCATGTTAACAGTAAATGTATGTCAATGTAAATGTGTTGTTTATGCCTGAATTCTCACTGACCTTATGATGTAAATGGGGTTGTTGGTGGGTTAGTTGTTGGTCTTAACCAATGTTGAAGATCTTGTTGGGAAAGAGGCACTTGGGGAAAGAATCACACCGAAGCTCAGCTGACCCTTTCGAGTTCGCCGTTGAATTGGATTCTTTGGCAGTGGATTGTGCTTTAAATCAGAGGTGACGGCCTCGCTAGACTCCACAACCTTCAACAGGGGAGTGGAGGAAGAATCGCCGAGTTCTCGTCCTCCCGTCTCCAGTGGAACTCGATTCACCACCCGGAGCGGTTCCGGGAAGCAGCCCCCAACCAAAGGTGCTCTGCAGCAATGATGTGGAGGAAGTGGTCGGTGCTAAGGTTCGGTGAAGGGAGCCTTGGGTGGGCATGAGATGAGTCTGACTTGAAAATACATGTTATAGATCCCCAGATATATAGATAAAAATCAAGTAAAAGTTGTTTCAAAAGTATTGGAAACCGTTTCTATCTATTGGGGGACCACTATATTATGCCCATAATATATCCACCATATATCCATACACGTTGTGGGGGCGTGCCTTCACCCTATTGCTTTCCGTGTTGAACTATACTACTAGACTACTCCGGTTATTCCAGCATGGTTGGCTACGGCAGCAATCAAGCTGCCCTTCCATAACATGGCACTCACCTGCACAATCTTCCAAGCACCACTTGTGGCTTCATCAGAAAGCTTCCTTCCTCCTTTCTGGAACTCAGACGGAAGGCCATGCAAGGCCCAGACCAATGCGTTTGGCGATGAGCAAAAAGATTCATGGCAGTGACACATAAATCACCTCACTTTGGCAAAAATGGAAGCCAGGCCTTGGCGGATTTGATGCTGGAGGTGGACGGCAATGGCGATGGCTACATTGACTTCAAGGCCTGCTGACAGCTGAACCGAACCTGCGGACAGTTGTGCACAGAGCAAAGGCGAAAACCACGCTGCCAAGGGTAGCTGTCCTCAGAGTTATTCTATGTGTTAAGGATGTTAATTATTAGTGTTGAAGACATCTTGCATTGTGCTTCCGGTGTCCTGTTTTTTCTTGACTACGGACGAGAGGCCTTGATTCGGGGCCCTTCGGTGACACGTGAATTGATACGTGTGGCTTTTGTAAGCAGCAGTGGATCCACATGTTCGGGGGCACCATGGATCACCCAGATCCGGAGATCTCTGATTCCTGCCCCCGCCATGCAAGCAGATATGATATAGACATATAGTATCATATCATATAGTTCAGCATGATGCTCCTGGTCAAGAAAGAAGAGCTTTTCAAGGAGCAGGTGGTAGATTGAAAAGGTATGCTGAACCAAATGGAGCCATTCCAGGACACCAAGGTTCAGCAATCCACCTTTTCAGCGATGCCAACCATGACACCTTTCTGGATGCCGCTTGTGATCACGGGGTGTGATGCCATGGTCCAGTCTTCGTGGCAAGCCGGGCCGAACGCCTGGGGAAGTCGAAGGAGAAAAGCCTTGTTCCCCTCGAGTGTGCCTTGGTTGGGATGTAGATGTCGCATCCAATCATCGCGATCACGGATGTTGCTTGGATGATTCTGTTAGCTTTAAGTGATGGATGTGACTGTTGGTGGGTCATGATGGACTTCTTTCATCTTCGTTCTCTCTCTCTCTCTCACCCAATCCCGGCAACCCATATCTCCGTCGGAACGTCTCTTCGGGCCAGGAATTCATGCAGATGATGAGAGGTGCCGGCAAACCTGCCGAGACGACCCAGGTCGCGACACGACGTAGCGGAGCCGTCCGGAAAACTCCGGTGAGAAGGGTACGTCCGGTGAGAAGCGTCCCGGGCTGTTGCAGAGAATTCGACATGCAGACATACTCCGGTTTTCCGCTGCGAATTTCTAATGGTTTGTTGACGTTCGCATGTGACCGTATCATACCATATCAACAGTAAGAGTGCGCCCCTTTTCGGTTCAGGGATCAGTAGGAGACGCACAGACACCTCCAATCCCAAAGACACCTCCGCCTGGTTTCGGTATTTCTGGACCATTGTGTGAAAGATTGGCGAAATCAAAAAGTGCCACATGGCCATCCCACAGAGACATATGCATCAATATATACTATCAATAATCTATGTTTAATCTATTCTGTGTGGCCCCCGCTGAAGTGAAATCAAGCGTCACAGCAGCTAGGAGCCGTTCGAGATCACTTAAAGTGTGCCACAAACCGGAAAGGTTCCCCCCATCACCAGCTGTTTCCAGTCTTCCGCCCCACCCAGACTGAGTTAGACTCTCCCCCGGTGGCTGAGGAGAAGTAAGCCATGTCGGAGGGTTTTGCTTTTTTAGCTCGGCGCCTCAGAGAAACTCGATGTCTTTTCTGTGTAGAAACAGAGAGTGAAACAGATGCTTTCGCAGCGAAAGGAAGTTCATCCTCCAAGTCCATTCGACGTGGGGTTGCTGCTGGATGATGTCCCAAAACACCATGAGATCCATACTGCCTCACCCACGGGGGGTCCCAGCGCATCCCAGCGCCACATGAGTATAGTACTTATAGTATTTGCATGTATTTGTTAGACGTTGTGAACATTTAAACATGCATAAACAGTGTATGACCGTGTGGTCCTCCAAGATTCGAAGATGCTTAATATGAATCAATATTATATTTAAGGTCAGAAATCGACCTTGGACGCTTCGTGATTACAAACTGAATCGTTTTGTAATGCAAGGATTGCATCTGGACGATTGAATTGGTTGGCCCAAAGAAATCCATGGCCCAAACTGTCGCTCACTTGAAACCCTCTCTTCTCGATCTTTGCTCACTCTTCCACGGCAAGGTTAGATTTGGAGGGTGTACATTCATTGGGGCCTTCTGACATGGAGATAGAACAACACATTCAACATCTGGGCACCTTTCATATTGAACATCCAAGTTTGGCCGAGCAAATCTCAAGGTTATTAGCACCAAGTAGAAAGGGTTCTGCAAATTGGTGTCACGAACTCCCAAATAAAGCATCAGGAATCATCCGGAGGTCTCCAAAGAAGATCCCCGAAAACACTGCGTGTTCGTTTGCTTACCTACCAATAGGAGGAGTGTAGACGCCTTGCAACTGTCAACAGACAAGTTCTACGGCGTTCCCAGGATACACATTAAGATTTGACAAACTCTCTGGTGTGGGTCGGCCCCCCTGGTTCCTTTAGCCTGTAGAGGGCAAGTGAGGCCGACCATGGCCATCCCGACAGGTTCCTTTAACCATAGTTTTTTGTCCATTACTCACATGTAATTGTTTTGATGTTTTTTTGGAAGCGGCACGACCATGGCTTTTTTTCGTTCACCATGCTTCTAAAACCTGTCGCAGGACCAAGCCCCAGCCGTAGCTGCTGATGCCCCAAATAGTGATCTACCGACTACCGACAAATCGGACAGGGTGAAGAGTTAGGTCAAAGGAGACGGTGAAAGTTGGCGTAGATGTCTATAGGCCAGACGCCATCGCCATAGATGATCATAGATATCTATAGACACCTTCTCCAGCGCCGTTTCTTTTTCAGAGGTGAAGGATTGTTTGGCTTCTCCAATTCATCCTGCCAGCCTGGACCAAATTGTTTCACCGTGGCAAAGGCATGCAAAGGGTCCCAATCGATGTGCAACCTCGAACTGACAAGTTTTGCTGCGCTGTCCTGCGCTGTTCACACTTTCCAGCTCACATGGTCAGCAAATTTCACTGGTGCTTGGATTGGTGAAGCGTTGTATACGTTACTTCTGACTTCTGGCCTATACCTTTCTGTTTGCTGGTCGATGGAAGGACTTTTGGGATACCATGAAGATCCATGAAGCCTTGGTGCTGCTTATAAGACTGATCAGCTGGTTGCCGAACCTCAGGGTCACAGTTGGCATGCGATTTGCTCAGGTGTTTGTCTCATAAGGTCAATCGGTTATGACTGGTAAAAGTCTTTATGACTGGTGGAAGTGGGGATTCACAGCTGATAGACTGGGGTGAAGAGAAAAAGGTTCACATCGTGTTCACAACCGGTCTGATAGACTGGGTTGTTGGACCGAGTATGATTCTCCTTTGCGTATTCCATTGCAATTGCTCTCATCGATTGCATCGAACATTGCGCGAATGCCAAATCATGCACATGCCAGGGCCAGCAAGAATCGTTCACGCGGAAAAAAAACGCAACGAATTTGAAGCATCCCGATGATATCCCCATGATATCCCCACACAAGCGCCAGTTGGCTGAAGCTGGAATCTTTGAACTTGGAACCTGCTTGGGTGGTCAGCAGTCCATCTCCCACAATCCAACAGTGCTCTTTGATCCAACTCGCCCTCCAGGTAGTCGAGTTATACTGGACACATCAAGTATTTGATTTGCTTTCTTTGAAACGGACAGCACGCACACAGAACATCACAGAAGCTCATGAGACATAATTATGTGGTCAAACAAAGTAAATTGGGGATCATCATGACGGAACACCTTGCAGTCCTCATATTGACCCGACTCGACCCGACTCGCGCGCATTGGTTCTTTCTTTTCAAGAATCCTCACTGTTTGGCAGGCAGGGCTGGAATTGTGCGGTGTGCCTGGGGCATGGTGTAAATCATCGTCATCGGAGTTTTTTTCCATGAGGAAGTGCACAGAGGTGTTCCTCATGGTTTTCCTTATGGTTCTTCAACAGTCGCAAGAAGAGGTTGCTGAGCGTCTGGCAAGTGATGAAGTGGAAGAAGCGGTCTCCTGAGGCAATTCGGCAGCCGAGCTTTGGTGAAACGTTGTGTAATACCGAAATCTTTATGCAGCTGGTAATCAGTTCTTCAGAGTTCTTCATGGTTCTTCATGACCCACTTTTGTTCACGTTTTCCTCTGGATCCAGCTTGGATGTCAAGTCCAGCGACAAGAACTGCGAAGCAGTGCCTGCATTTGGTTTGAAGATGCTCGCTCGAATTACTTTGGAAGGGACATGAAGTGACGTATATATAAAATCTTTAGTAATATGATGTAATATGTCCAACTTTCCATGGGGAATCTGATACCATCCATTTCAGGGTGGATCATGGATCTGTAGCCCGCGTACCGTGTCCCGAGTCCCGAGTACCGTGCATGCCAACGTTTGAGAGGATGACTTCGATTCTGACATCACCCCAGAGTTGCGAGAGGACCTTTCTTTTTTCCAACCACCAAAAGAAATGTCTGAGGATGAACAGCCACACTTCACTCATCTTCACTCATCTTCGCTTCTTTGCGAGCTTTCTTCGAACTGCAGATCTCACCGGTGAGGGGTTTGCAGGTCCTCCGAACCTGATGCTCGTTTCAAACAGTGCGGTCGGCGCCGCGGTCGCGGCTACGAGCTTTGGCTTCCTTTCTCTTGCGGATCGACCGATGTGAGGTCTTTGCGTCTTGACGTAGCTGTCTCTCAAACTGGGAAGCCCGCAACCAGTGTCTTAAGCTGAATTCACCATGCATCTTGCTGGACGATGTTTTATAGCGTGAGACAATCCAAGATCTGTGTGCCATTTGTGTGTCTAATGGTATAATAGCAGTCGTGTTTGAAAAGGCATGGTCTGGGAGTGTCATAGGAACCTACGCCCCACCAACCCATGTATGTGACCAATGTGTTCGCACGGTGCCGCACGGTGCCGTGGGGCCGACAGGTTGGTGGACCCCCCGTTGGACTCACATTGAAGGTGCTTTGCTGTGCTCAGAGCCA